CACTGGCTTACTTTAACAATGCGCTAGCCTTCCTGTTCTGGTAAGTAACATGATAACAAAGTGAGAGAACAAAAGTGAAACGGAGATGAAGTTCACATACCCGCTGGCCGACATTCATCTGTTCTAGGCGTTGCAAGAAGCCTCTTTCATCACTCAGATACTGATTTACAGTCTCCGCTGGGTTCGTGAAAAAGCCTTCGAACAAATCTCGTGCCCACTGTATAGTGTGATGTATTTCATTCGGGAAATTCTTTAGCGTGCAAATTGGAATTTCTTTATCAACCGGGTCAGCCGATGAGCTAAAAAATAATCAATTTCTTAATAGAAGCGCTGGAAAATGCACATACAACTAAAGCTAAAGCCTTCTTTTCTCGCCGCCCTGGTGGAAGGTTTGCCTGTATCAAAAAGTGCGGCAAAACAGAAGTTAGTTTACCTCAATAGGGTAATTTTTAGACCAAATTTAACGCCCAGCAATAGAAAAAAAAAAAGGAAAAACTACACCCAGTGCGTCAGGATACAGAAGAATGCAAAAATAAAAATACAGGTCATTTTAATAGGTCTATGCATAACCGAAAATCATAGGTCCAAAAATTTTGACTTCATATCTTTTGCAGTTCTGTGGTTAAATTGCCAAGGTACAAAAAAAAGAACAATAGACGCACACAGATACAATGTCAAAATGCTGCATTCTTCCTACATTAATGGTGAAAAAACCCGAGGAAATGTAAGGAACTGAGTGGAAGGGGGGTAAAATTCACGCAAATCATGGCCAAAAAAAATGTGAATTCCTCGGAAAAGCAAAAAAATGTCGACAGAAGGTTTTTTTATTATTCAAATCACCTTAGAAAGGATAACCTGAAAAACTAATCGGCTTAAAAAAAAGTTAAATCTATTGACTTAGAAAACGCTAAAATACGGAGTGAATGAAACGAAATGTTAGCAAGAGAAAGCTACTTCGAAAGTGAGACTTCGGACAGAAAATGCTGAAACCGGGAAGCGTGCCCTTGGCGTCGTACGGTAAGAAAAG